ATTAAAACATATCATTTATGTCCGGCAGCAGCTTATTGTCAACTGTTTTCTCAAAGTTTGTAGGTTCGCACCTGTAGTAGTGGTTATTACCTATCAAAGTCGGTTCTGGGTCCCTTAACCTTTTTTGCAGTATTTGTCACCATGTCAACAGGCCTATGTTGAGTGATTATAACTATGTAAATAAGTATACAGGTTATGTCATATACGTTTTGGGCTATGTTACCGTACGTACTAGGGACATCTCGTTAATGTTGATTGGTGGCCACCAAAGGCTCTATAAATGAAACATTTTAAATGCCAATTGTGGCTGAGAATTACAAATTACAAAATGTTCTTTTTAAGGAAGTGGCAAAGTCAATGTTTCCACACACAAAACAGCGTGTTGTTTTTTAGGTCCGGCGTCAAGAAGACTCCACGACACGCTTCTGTTTGTCTGTCCGATCTCACTAAAACATGCTTTCTATTTATTCCCGAGAAGTGCTTCCATTATTTCCGCAAAGTATTTTACAATCGTACTGCCTTTCTCCAAAGACTACATATGTTTGGTCACCATGGGAGGTTGCTTTTTTCCGTCGAGCATTTAGCAGGCCTAATCCGTTCTATTAGACAATTTCTCACTCCCAAGCTCTCCTTTACAGCTTTCAAGAGCAACAAAACTTGCAGCACATCGTCCGAACCTGTGGGCCCTCAATGCTGGTGTGCAAGGTCACACCCGAAATCAAACTGCCAAACGGCTGTCAGGCTAACCTCGAAGATGAAACGAAGGCTTACTTCCTGGTTATTTGCACGTCCGCAGAAGGTATCCTGAAGGCGCAGACTCTCGGACCGGAAATCGCTCGGATGCTACGTCAGAAGTTTGCCATTCTGCATCAAATCGACGAAATAAATCGGAAGCTGAAAGAGAATCAAGCAGGCAAGGTACAGTTTTCTCTTCAGCCATGGCGTGTGTTTCCGGATAACGTTTTGTTGGTTAGGAAAATCTGGAATTTGCGAAATATGTAGTCCCGCGTCTACATATTTCGGCTCATTAGGTCCAGATCAAGCCTGAATCCACAAGTCGAAATTTATAGCTTTGATTTTTCTCAAAGGAGAAGAGGTCGGTTTAATTGGAAGTAGTTTGTGTTTAATAAACCCGTACTTGGAAGGTATTGTGGGTGGACACTACGACCAAAGCTAGGTAAATGTCTGCTAGGTCGAAAATCCTCAGTAATCCAGTCAGTGCTTATAAGGGCTCTTGGTTAAGTAACACGCATTCTTTATTTCCCATATTTCGCAGCACTAAAAATAGATGACTTCTTGGTCAACTCATTAACTGTACTAAAAGGAATTTTAGTCTTCTGTAACTGTTCTAAGCAGTATGCCATAGAGCCTCGGTTACCACTTTTGACTGGCAACGCAGGCCTGGTAGCTTAATTGGTAGGGGCATTCTAATGGATGAACCTTGACTGAAAGCCTGAGCACACGGCTACCAGGACTAGATAGCACGATTGGATGCTGACAGCAAATAGGCTAGAAATTGTTATTCTAGTCTTTCCTACCTTGATGGCGTTAAATGTGCATATTTTTCTCCCATGGAAGACATGCTGGTGAAATATTTTAGAATCTATCCCCTTCTATAGAAGTGGTTACTTCAAACAACAAC